ACTTCCGGTGCCAAGTTACGGACAATTTTCTGAAATTAAAATGACATTTTGTCCACGATTAAACTCAAAAACGGTAAAAGATATCAATATGAAACTTTCAGAGATTATAGATCGTGAAATATACTATCCAGGACGCGACCTTTTGTTAGTCGTCGGTACTTCCTGTCGTTTGTAGAAGCGAATTGAAAAAATCGTATTTTCTAACTTTTTTGTTTTTCAATATTTTTTATTGATTTTTGGAATATTAATAGAAACCCTTCCATTGATGCTTACTATACAAGTTGTTTGAATATTGGTTAATCTGAAGTCTAGATATTAATATTTGAAAATCTGAAGCGGGTCCAAGATGGCGTCTGCCTCTGTCAACTCCGCCATTTCGCGAGTAGGGGTTTATGAAGGCAGCTGAGCGTTTGATTAAACCATTCTGACATAAGGATACATGAAAAGTAAAAAAACTACTAGGACTTTCACGTAGTAGTACGTTGTAATTACGTGTCAATCTTAAAACTTAATTTCCGTTTCACTGCTTTAGTGTAATTGGGCTGGGTACGATATGTAATGTGTATAATGTGTTAAATAAACTTTCTTAACTTTGAAATAAAATAAAGGCGATAAGAACGGTTTATTTATTTACTTTCATTGAAACTATCACACCTTTTTAATAGATCAATCCAAAGAAAAGGCGCAAATATTTACTCGTGGCGTTTGGTGCGAAATTATTAATAGTGATCCGCCTTTTATAATTCTTAGACAGGTATACTGTTGCAAAAGTACACACGTATATTAAGAGCAGTGTTCCCAATAGCTTAATGGTTTGCGCATTGGGGATAAAAGAGAAAAAAAGCGCATTCACGTTGGCGACCTGGGTTCAATCCTCCTTGTGACCAAAATTTCAAAACACTTTTCAGTTCGATTTTACGAGGATTTGTTTTCCTGAATGGGACGGAAGACCTCTCGTTGCTCGCAACGAGATCGTATCTAGTTATTATTACTATTATTTTTCCGCCCATCTAATTTTGTGCACGCGATTTCTCGAAGACTATTGGGTGGATTTTCATGAAATTTACGGAACATTGTGTTATTATCTGAAGTTATTTTATCCGAGAGATTTTTTGAAGATTCGCTTCCGGTGCCAAGTTAGGGGACATTTCCTGATTTTAAAATGACATATTGTCCACGGATTATCTCAAGAACGGTAAAAGATATCAAAATGAAACTTTCAGAGATGATAGATCGTAGTAATTACTATCCTGGACATCTATTCACAAAAAAACTTACGACTAAACGTAGTCGTAAGACGGTCGTAAGATTTTTTCGTAAGATTTTGCCAATTCACAAAAAATCGTACGATTGACGTTACGTCATATTCTTGTCGTAAGTTTACGTCTAGTCTTGAGCAGACGTAAGTCTTATATTGCTATGGTTACGATTTCAATATGGCTGCAACTTTTATGATTATGTCTGCTGCAAGCGAGAGAAGAAGGAAACCCCCGCGACCACGGAAATTCAGAGATCGGACAAATCCTTTAGACAATTTGTCCGATTTTGACACAATAGCTCGGTACCGTTTGCCGAGACAGGAGATAGTAGAGCTCCTTAATTCAGTTAAAAGAAGACTACAAAGACCAACAGCTCGAAGCCGTGCTGTTCCTGATATCACACAGGTAAAAAAACAAATATAAAAAGAACATTTTTAAGGATATCACATGGCGCAATTTATAATTATTTTTCATTGACATATCATATTTTATAAATAATATTTGTTTTACATGTAACAGGACTAAATAAGTTTCAAACAAAATTCTCATCCTCCAACCCTCTCTATGTCTCCTATATACCTCCCCCTTTTTGTGTGTCTTTGTTTTATCAAAAGTATTTGTTACGTTAACCTAAATCTCAAAATCAATCATAATCAAAAAAATTTAGCACTTCCCCTACCCCGGTTTGTATTGAATATTGCACAGAACGGAATATGAGGAGATGGCGAAAACAGGCGGGAAACATGAAGAAAGCCGTGTAGAAAAAAGTTGCATGTAAAATAACTTAAAGGAATACAAATAATACGTCTATATGCACTATAAGCAATTTTATTTGCAAAAGACTATAAATAAAAATTACTTGACTTGACTTGACTTGAAAAGCCGCAAGCGTTAATTCTTATGACTTCCGTTTATTATATATGTATATATACATCGAGAGAGAGAGAGAGAGAGAGAGAGAATTTTATTCACTGTGATTTTTTTTTTAAACGACGGCATACTTACGCATATAAACAACCACATGCACCTGACGTTACTTATTTTTCTTTTAATGAGAAAAATTTTCCCTGCCTAATATTGGCATAGGCGGATCCAGGAATTTGTAAAAGGGGGGGTCCAACATTCTGACCTATTAGGTACTGTTTGCAACATCTACCGCTCCCAATTTTCACCCAACTGCCTAGATCCATCCTGCGGGCAAAATTTTTAAACTTGATATATTCAGCCGTAAACGGAGATATACTACATTTACATTTTCAAATATCATCAAATAAATTGTAGACGGGAAAGTAGAATAGGCAATCATGGTAAGTAAGAGTCTATGATAAAATTAATAACTTTTTCCCCAAAACTAGCAAAATAAAGTCCCCTAACGGTAATATAATTCAGTCAAAAGTATGTCAAACGTAATGAATATACTTGTTCTGTGAGTATTCAAGGCACAGTGCAAAGAAAAATCCGGAAAATCGCAATCGGAAGGACAGACAGGTGGATAGATGGACCGAGAGTAAACTAGCACCCCTCCCTCTTCTCAGCAAAGCGAGAAAGGGAGACTAATAATACAAAACAATTGTTTGATATTAACCCAGTATCACACTGTTCTGATCAGGCCTAGAGTCCCAAATATCCATAGCGAATTGCTCTATCAACTTTAGACATTTACTTTTCTGGTCAATTATACTGGAGTGACAGATCTAACAGAAATATTGTAAAACTCTATACATGTATTTATCATAAGAAATGAACGGTATGAACTTTTATGCACGCGCATTTCGACAAATAATGTCTCTTCAGTGATGCTCAGACCAAAACTATTGGAAATCTTAAAAAGATAAAGAGCTACGAGCATGGATCGAAAATGCCGAACATGAGCCAAAATCCGAACAAGGACCAGAGCTATGCCTGAGGGGGGTCCTTTATTTCTAAAATTTATCACATTACAATTTATATATCCGTTTCATGCTAGCACTGGATTACTAGACAAAACTGGGCTTATGAATACCCTCGGGGACTAAAAGTCCACCAGCAGAGGCATATTACTAACATTAATTTTCAGTTATAATTCTCTCTTTGCTACAAGGATATACAATTTTGAAAATACATTTTTTTATTTCGTAGGCACAAATAACCAAAAAAATGGGGGAAGGGGTATCCGCACATGAAGGCCTATCTAGAATTTATTTTACTTTAAAAATATACATGTACATTACATGGGGGAGGGTAGGGAACCACCCCAACCTGTTTTTTTCCCTACAAATTGTAAAAAAAAAAAAAGAAAGGAAAAAAAGTAAAATTGGACTCCCCCTTTTAAAAGGAATATTAATAGCTGACTCTCTCTAAAGATAAAACTCAATGGTAGACCCCTCCCCTACACCGTGCCGTTCACAAACTTGAGAGTTTAAGCATAGTTTGGGGTATTTGTATCAAAATTAATGAAATTGATAATCACGTACATAACCACCCCAGTGTAGTTTTGAAACGTGACGTTTATGTGATAAATATAGTATAATAGGCCCCTATGTGTTTTGTAAAATTTTTGGTCCGCGAAAAAGGGGGGGTCCGGACCCCCTGGACCCCCCCTCTGGATCCGCCCTTGTATTGGTATATTGTTTTTATTGAAAAAAAAATAAGAAACGTCGGGTTCCTGTGTAAACAACGTTGAAAAAAAATTTAATGTTTTGTAAATATTTTCGAATTCAAAACGTAAAAAATTCTCTTCATATCCGCCCTAACCTGACTATAAACAACAAAATAATAGATGAGAAATTAAATATTAATAAGGTGAAATAATATCAATTGTGTTTATTGAAACTCACCATCAAGGAAGAATAATGTCTAACACCACCCTTTCTATTTAAAGAGTTAGTTTTTTTTTTAAATAAAATAATAAGAGTTATCTTTATTGTCGCTCTTGAAAATATTTTTTTTTCTATGAAACAAATTATTAATTACATATGGTTATAAACAATTATGCATATAAAATTTTCATAACAATAAAATTAATTATACGTTAAGAGCACTAGCCTTTAGAACGCTTTGATCTGATTGACATGTACAAAAAAAAATTATACATGTCGGTCGGACCAAAGCGATCTGTAGGCCTGTGGTTAAGAGATAGAAATATGTCAATTTTTCATTCGAACTAGGTTTAAATGTTGGAAGTTAACTATTATAAATAATTAAAAAAAAAAAATTGGTAATAGAAACTAGAAATCAGCATAATTTGTATAATTGAACAGATTCGATAAAATTGGATTAGAAAGCTGTTTTGATAAATGAAATCTGTAAAATCTAACATGGTAACTTATTGAATTTCGTGGAAAACGTCTTCGGAGAGTTAACTATCTTATCAAAATTGTCTTCAGAAAGTTATCTCTCTTATCAGAAAATATCTTAAAGAATTATCTAGTTATTAATTTAGTAGTATTTTTGTGGATATGTAGGTAGAGGACCCCCCCCCCCCTTTTCCTAAATAATTTTTTTATCACGGGTATGACTTTAATATTTCACATGTGGATTCCTTATAATAAGACATTTTTGGGTAACACCAAATTTGACCTTTTGGCATTGACCTTGGAGATTTTTCGTACTTATGAAAAAACTTAAACCTTGTGAGAAGACTTTTCATTGGATGCCAAGAACTTTAACCCTTTGACCTTGACCTTATAGTTCAGTGATGATTTCTAAATAAATGACATATGATAAGGAGTTCATATTGCACACATGTCATAAAAAATGACATCTCACTTACAAAGACACCGAAAGCGGGGGACCAAAATTCCATGAATTTTATTTTATTTATTAAACAGTTATTGGTGTGTCTGCGTTACCTAGCAAAGGGAGATTTCCAGTCAGAATGCGCAGATTTACACGGAATATCACAGCCTACGGTCTCAAGGATTATTGGGAGTGTTTTGCTGGCCTTAGATTCTGAACTAAATAATGTGAAGTTTCCCACAACAAATGAGGAAATCATCAAGACTAAAACAAAGTTTTTCAACATAGCAAATTTTCCCGGAGTAATAGGAGCTGTTGATGGCACTCTGGTCCCAATTTTATCGCCAAAAGAAGATGAGTTTGCATTTGTATGCAGGAAGGGCTTTCATGCCCTTAATGTCCAGGGGGTCGTCGACGCAACGTTAAGGTATCCGATCCATATTAGCCCAAAATTAAATGGAATTGAATGTCTTATAGATATGTATGGGCTGAATACTCAGTGTAGTTAGAACTAATTTTCATCTTTTAGTATCAGAATGTATGAGTTGGGCATGTCCTACTTTATGACCTTTTCCTGCCCCTGAGGAGTTATCTCCCTTTGATTTTACGCAATAAAATTTAATTTTAAAAAATCTGTCTGGTAAAAAAATTATTTCTAATTTTTTTTTCTTTTCCTAATGATCAAATACATCTTTCCACCACAGCATTTTTTGATATTTGAAGTATTTACTTTTTTATCTTAAAAAACTTACTTCCTTCCATAGAATTCAATGCAATCTTCAATAATTAATTTCTCCTTAGGTAATATAATTTTTGAAAATTTCTCTTGGTAAATCCCTTCTAACTCTAAAATGCTGTAAAATAATATTGGGATATTTTACAAACAATTGATATTTAAGATTAAAAATTTTTATCCTAATATGGGTCGGATACCTTAAGGTAACTTGATAAACATGATTTTGTTCATTTTATAATTTTCATCATTTCGGATATTTCCTTTAAATTATTTATTTCCTTTGGTCCATTGATTGACTCAAAATATACCATTTATTTAAGAGTTTGAATAGTATTGAAGTAGGAGGCCCAAGGACTTTAACAGTCACCTGGGTATAATTAAAACCTATAATCGAAAGAAATTTACTGAAAAAGAAAGATAACTTTCTCAAAAACACATGACAAAGTCACTGTCCTTGTTCTTGACCCATTAAGAGCTTTATTTCTTGATAATTTTCACAGGAAATGAAAGTGGGGTGGGGGGGGGTCCTGTTTTAACACTTATATTTATAAATGCATATAAAGAATGATAAATTAACAGAAGAAAAATTTAAAGATAGCAGTTGGTCACCTGATTGATCAGAGCAAGGTGATCAAAAAAGATAAAATATAACGTATAATCTATTTTCTAGATTCACAAATTATGTGTGCAAGTGGCCTGGCTCAGTGCACGACAGCTTCATTTTTCGAGAGTGTCGCCTGTATGAGCTCCTACAAAATCAACCTCTTGGATGGTTACTTGGCGACTCAGGCTATGCCCTTAAGTCCTTCTTGATGACGCCGAAGAATAACCCTCAAACCGAGGCAGAAGAAAAGTACAACAGGGCTCACAGTCAAACAAGGATAGTTGTTGAAAGGGCGTTCGGCGTCCTTAAGTCTAGATTCAGGTATAAAAAAAAATTTTATCATGGAACATTGTAAACTCTAAATCATTTAATCAATGCATTACAGTAACTATTTTATCCAACTGATGCATAACCATCACTATCTTTTTACTTTATTACTTTCCGAGTTTAAAAAAGAACAAGGGAACAGAGCAGTGTGGCTAATTATCTCCCCTTGGGGAGGAAAATTGCAAACATTAATTCAGTATAGAAAAGCTTAGGTGAATAAGTGGTCCCGACCTACTCCTAAATTGGAGAGGGTGTATGGTTTGAACGAAATCGAATCAACACTTACTTAGGAAGTTTGTATATATTTTTTTTACAAACTGACTTTTAACCCTTCAAGTTTGACTGTGGCTCCATGGTATCCTACCCAAGGCCATTGGGGTCATGACTTGAACTTGAATCTACACCACCTGAGGATGATGCCATATAAATATGACCAATCAGAGATGTGCTGTTCTTGAGAATATTTTTCTGATATATTCATATGTAAAACTTACATAGTCTATTGTGGCTCCATGATACCTGAATGTTATTTGAACAAGTTTCAAACTGCACCACCTGAGAATGTTTTCATCTTTTTCTGGTCAATTGGTTCTTAGAATATTTTTCAATGATGCCATAATTTTTTTCATTATTTTGTAATTATCTCCTCTGGGGGAAAGGCTTGGTTCTTCATTTGTACAAAATCTTATTTTAAAAAATGCTTACATTTTCAGATGTTTGCACAAGACAGGAGGTTGCTTGCCTTTTGCACCCCATAAATGCATCAAGGTCATAAGTGTTGCTATAAAACTTCACAACTGGTGTATAGACAAAAAGATCCCTTTACTGGCCTCTGACTGCTGCCAGGACCCACAGGATGATGCTGAGAATGACATCGAGATTAACATTGATCGGGACGGATCCCAGCAAAGAGAAAGACTTGTCCAATTATTTGCTTGAAGCTAGTTGAAGAAATTAGATGTTTCCACTTTTTTATCGATGACTTTCACATCAATCTAATTAAAATTAGATTTTAGATCCGCTTGCATACTTGCTACACTAACATCTAACAACATCCCATAGAGGGTCACGTCAAAGGTCAAATTCGAAACACCCCTAGAATTATTAGATTCAATTACGTCAACAAATATGCGATGATTTTGCAGCGACAATTTGATTGGTTGATAGATTTTGAACTCTGACGTGACCTTTTATGGGATGTTGTTAGATGTTGGTGTAGCGAGTATGCGAGCGGATCATACATCTAATTTTAATTAGATTGACTTTCACATCTGTCAGTATTAATTATTTGCATTGATGAACTTGACAGTAACTTTAATTAATTGCTATAAAATAATGATATTTGTTAAATTTTAGCTGTGCTCGGGTTTTGGGGTCACAAAATTGGGAGAGCTTTGCCATACTTTAATAAAACATCAGTGGAATTTTAGACAGAGTACATGTATCTAATTTTTTGATGATAAAATCCTTACAGGAAGAAAAAGAAACGTAATGTAACAGTAATATATTTTTTTTAATATTCATGAACTAGAAAATTGATTTGTACAAAGAACTGTTTTTAACTGGATTTGTTTTAGACTAATACAAACAATTTTTCAATGACCTTTAAGTTAATGCATTTTTCATTTCTGTAAAATAAAGCATTAATATTTTACAACATTATCACACTTTTTTTCTATAAATATTTAAATCAGATAAAAGTTATTTAAAAATGGAACTAATTTGGAGTGTCATAATTCAATATTTATAATTCAAAATAAGTTGGGCCATTGACCTTATCTTCTAGATGTAAGTCTAGTTTTTTCTTCTTAAGAGCAACAAACTCCTCGAATGATGTCAGCATCTTCCTTTTGATGACAAGATCCTCTCTCATCAACTCCACCATCTCTCTTTGTATGGAGAGAAGCTCAGACGTGTCACCTTTAAGAAATTCATTATATACCGTAATGCATTAGAGCATGCAAAATTTAACATGTATGCAGACTTTAAACTCCAAATTGCAGAAAACATTTTTGCAACATAACTTTTAAATAAATTCATATTCATTAATTATACATAAAAAAAATCCCAAAATTCACAAATTTAAAAGAAGTCTTTGAAGGGAAAAGGGGGTATAAAAAAAGCTCAAGAGGAATCTTACAGTAAAGGGGAAATAATTGCATCTTTAAGTAAATCTTTATTCAATACAATGAATAATTTACCTTTCCCTTTCTCCTGAACATGTGCCTTTCTACTTTGCTTCTTGTCTGTCAAAACAAAAGTGAAACATGTATGATATTCTTAAAATAATTTGTTACCGATAAATTAAAAAAAAAACGGATCTCAAAATTCGAAAAAAAATTATAATTTACTTACTGAAATTGCTATTGCCAAGATCTGTGCCTGAAGTACTGGCTACCTCTGAATGAGGATTTTTAACCATCACTATACCAAAAAAAAGAAAAAAAAAGTTTGAGACTTTATTCATGAATTGGTTTGCCAGGTAAATTTATATGAATTTTACAATTTGTCTAAAATCCAGATATTAAGGGACATTGATACTCTGATAACAGAGAGATACTCTTAATGACATAAATGTCTATGATTCCTTTATAGAAAGACCAAGTTGAAGTGTCTTTTTTGTCAAATATTACCTTGCAAGTTATGCTATAATTGTTTGTATTATACTTACAAAATACATTTCTTTTGGAAAATCATTACGGTTTAAGCAACATTTTATATGAGTAAGTAGAGGGTTTATGGACCTTAATTTAAGGACAACTAGAATAAAAGAAACGTTTTAAATCACCTGAGTTAAACTGTCTCTGTTCTTTCGCTGGCTCGTCCACTAGAAAATTAATAAAGGTATATTACATGTACACATGTATTAAAGATAAATAACAGACATTATAGAGTGAAGAATTTTAACCACACTTTACAAAAAAAAAATAATAATAATAAAAAAAAAGAGCAGAAACAAAAACAAGAGGCCCATGGGCCACATCGCTCACCTGAGCACTAAAGGTAAGAAAAAGTATAAAGGGTTTTTATTGTAAAGTTTAAATCCAAAAGTAGTCCCATGACCAATCATGGATTTGCTATTTTTCAGAAAATGATTGTTAAAGAATTTTCCTATATATATCTTTAAAAACTTTGTTCGGCCATTTTGGCCCTGCCCTACCCATAGGGGCCATGACTTGAAAAATGTTAAATCTACACTACTTGAGCATGCTTCCATATAATTATGATGAATTATGAATTAGTCATTCTTGAGAAGAAGATTTTTAAAGAATTTACCTATATATTTCTATGTAAAACTTTGGTCGGCCATTTTGGCCCCGCCCTACCCCCGGGGGTCATGATTTGTACAAACTTGAATCTACACTACCTGAAGATGTTTCCCCATAAGTTTCATCTTTCCTGGCACAGTGGTTCTTGAGAAGAAGATTTTTTAAATATGCCACCCAATTTTCTTTAATTCCCAATTTTCTCCCCTTGAATGAGGGCGCGGCCCTTCATTTGAATACACCTAAATCCCCTTCACCCAAGGATACTTTGTGGCAAGTTTGGTTGAAATTGGCCCAGCAGTTCTTGAGAAGAAGTCGAAAATGTGAAAAGTTAACAGACAGACAGACGGACGCCGGACAAAATGTGATCAGAAAAGCTCACTTGAGCTTTCAGCTCATGTGAGCTAACTAGACATTAATATGATAGAAAATTTATTTCAGTGATTATTAATGTTTGATGAACATGATGATAAATTAATTCTGTGTTTAAAAGTGCATATATTCATAACTGTCTTGCATTGCCAGGGAAATAACATGTTGTTAAAAATAGTTCAGAATCGAGATATAATTCATTTATAATCATCTACAAGAAGGAGTGTTAATTCACCTGTGTCAAACTGCTTCTGCGGATGTTCTTGTTCTGGATTGCATGCTACAAAATATTATACAGGTTATGTTATACATGTACTGAAAATTCATCAGAAACAAAATAATTATACAAGTTCAAATTTACATATCAATCAACTCTGTTTATAAAGAGATATGTGACCTCGGGGAAGAAGGGATGTGGTATTTTTAAAGTTAAAGTTAGCATAGGTCTACGATATAGTTTATTTCATACCTTCTAAGCTTGTAACTGCCTCTGTGCACAGGAATGAAGCTGACCGGATTGGAAATACAGCACATTCACTGTCTATAACAGAGATGATATCATTATCTTTATGATAGAATAATAACGTAACTTAGATATTAAATCATTATTAAAATAATTAAGTGCCACTGATAACTATAAATATAATTTATGTTTACATGTACAAATGTATATGTCACAAAGCATTATCTACATTTATATTTATAAACAAATCACATACTAACATTAATTGTTTATCATATGCCATTTTCAAAAGCAAGTATATATTTTTGTCCATATATTTATAATAAAGAATTTAACCTGAAACAAGACTGTCGCACCCCCCTGCAATGCCAGAGACCACAGTATTGGACATTATTCCAATGATCTAGAATGAAATTAATAGAAAATTAAACATTTAATTTATGAACTCATTAATTATTATAAGATTTTCATCATTAAATAAGAAACATACTTAGTTAAATATAATGGTTAATAAACATTTTATTTACATGTATTGTGCTTTTTAAATTTCTGTATTATTTTGAAAGATTCATTGATAAACAAAACCTTTTTCTCCCAATCTTTTATATCTGTTGGGGGTGGACCTCCGCCTGTCTGTTGTTGTGTTTTTAACCTCTCCACCTCCCTTTTTTTCGTGGAGGACTGAATATCCTGCCACTTCTTTTTCACTTCTTTCAACGTTCGCCCACATCCTCCTATGGCATTTATACTGCAAATAAAATAGATAGATCTGCACAACAAGCATATCATTTATATTTTCAATGCCAAAAAAAATGATTAAATAAAAGTTATGAGAGAAAAAGTTTTTAATGAAATAGAAAGAATAAAATGTTGGATTGACCCAATGGCAATCAATGTCTACATCAGTACAATGTACCTGTGATTTTAAACAAACACAAACTTGTTATGAATTAATCTAATCTGTACAAAAACACTTTTTTATAACTTACACTGACTGACTGAGAATAACTATAAACATATGCTAAAGGTAGACAAAATGCATTTATAGTTCCATTTAGTCATTTAGTATCACTAACATGCGAGTGATTTAATCAGTGACGGTTATGAAATTCATAATTAAAGACTATCTGCAGATTTCTTCTTCTTCCTTTGAATCACAGGTGTATTGTAGTGATTGAACATACAGTATAATGTAATCATAAAGGGGACAACACTATGAAAACAAACTTACTGGTATATTTTAGAGTCCCGCGGTCTTTATGAAAAACTTATCTGAGACACTAGCCAGTTAGAGCTAGTGGATTTGACATTATTACTAGCCCAAAGAAATTTTTAATAGCCAATTTAAAAAAGTGAAAGAATGAAATTACAGAATTTACTGTTGTTACACAGTTGCATCACTATTCCATTTAAATGCCACATGTACTGAATTCCTTTCCTTTTTGTATTTCTTCTGCTTATTTATTTTCTTTTCCCCTCTTTTTTTTAAATCATAAATAGTCTAGATCAGTTATAATCATTTATAGGGATTGAAGTAATTTGAAGAAACAATATTTTTATAGCTTTTTGACAATGTAGATACAACCCTTTTACTGGTCAACAGACTTCTCTTCCAAAGGAAGTGATTTTTTTTCTTTTATTTCAGATACACATGATGTTATTATAAACTTAGATAATAGTTAGCATAGTTAATTGATGTAATCCTTTACTCTTCATTTCAATGAGTAATCAGAATTATTTAAATCTGATTTCTGCATATATTTACAATATACGATCGAATGGAGGAAATTCGAATAGGAGAAAAAGACGATCGTTTTTATGGATAAATTAAACTATCAAATAGTGCTATGTGAACAATATGACTACAGTGCTTTGTTTTTATAATTGGTTAAGAATTTAAAAGCAAAAATTCTGAAAATACCTGTTTACTTTTCACTGGCCAAGCTACGTCTAAACAATTTTTACTAGCCCAGACCAACGTACTAGCCTCGGGCGTCGGGCTAGTGGGTTTTCGTGAAGACTGGTCCCGTACTTGTACATTGTTTGCATAACGTCAATGAAATACTTAATTAATTACCAAATTTTTGCAATATATCAGACAAATGATTTTTTTTGAAGGGAAACTTGGATTTTTTTTTTTCATAGTTTGTGGCTATAGCCTACCTGTTCGTTATGGAAGTCCATGCGGCGGACTTATCAGCCGCAGTTAAGGAAGACGAAAACTTTCCTTTCAAAATATCTCGTTTATCTTCGACCTGTTCCACTAACATGGCAATTTCTGCTTCATTCCAGTTCCTCTTCCGTGCAGCCGCAGCGTTCTCCATTGTTTATGTTTCGTCTGCTACTTTCACTTTTCCCGCACAGCTTACTGCGCATGAGCAGCTGTCGGTAACCAAGAAAGAAAAAATCTTACGATCGATTTTCACTTACGACAATGTGTCGATCTTACGACCACTTTCATGAATAGCTCGTAACTTTTATCTTAAGATTATCGTAAGTTCAAGTCGTAGTCGTAAACTTACGATTTTTTGTGAATAGATGTCCAGGACGTAACTTTTCGTTCGAGGTCAATACTTCCTGTTGTTACCAAATGCGAATTTAAAAAGTCGATTTTTCTAAATTTATTGTTTTCAATATTTTTTAAGTGTTTTCAGCGTGGGTAATAGAGACCTTTCCAATGATGCTTACTATATAATCTGTTTGAATATTGACAAATCCCAAGTCTAGATATTAACATTCAAAAATCTGAAGCGGGTCCAAAATGGCGGCTGTCTCCGTAGACTCCGCCATTTCGCGAGTAGGTGTTTATGGAGGCAGCTGAGCGTTTGATTAAACGATTCTGACATAAGGAAACATGAAATGTAAAAAACTACTTCGACTCTCACGTAGTAGTACCTTGCAATTGAGTGTCAATCTTAAAACTTAATTTTCGTTTCACTGCTTTAGTGTAAGTGGGCTAGATACGATATGTAATGTGTATAATGTGTAACATATACTTTCCTAACGTCGAAATAACATAAATGCGCTAAGAATAACTTATTTTTAAAAATTTAATTGAAGCTATCATACCTATTTAATAGATCAGTCCAAAGAAAAGGCGCGAATATTTACTCGTGGTGTTTGGCGCGAAATTATGAATGCTTTTTATAATTCTTAGACAGGTGAACTGTTAAAGTATACACAAGTATATTTAGAGTAGTACTCCCAATAGCTTAATGGTTAGCGCGTTGGGGATAAAAAAGTAAAAAAAAAAAAGCGCATTCACGTTGGCGACATGGGTTCAATCCTCCTTGTGACCAAAATTTTGAATCTCTTTTCAGCTCGATTTTAAGTGGGTTTCTTTTCCTGAATGGGACGGAAGACCTCTCATTGCTCGCGAGATCGTATCTAGTTATTCTTTTCTTTTTCTTTACAATTTTTTTGCAGAAGATTTCTCGATGACAGCTCGATCGATTTTGTTCAAATTTTCAGAGATTATGTGTTTCTATCTGAAGTTTGTCCCCCCGACTGAATTTTGAAAAAAAATCGGTCGTGAGTTAACGCCATTTCAGTGATTTTAAGAGGGTCTCCTTGTCCTTGAGTAAACTCAAAAACGCCATTAGCTAGAGAGCTGACATTTTCAGCGATGATAGACGACAGATTACTAAATTGCACATTGGATTTAAAATTTTTCAGCAAGGTCCAATATTGAAGCTCGGTAGGGGTCGAAATCTAGGACACGAATTATGAGTGAATTTTCGAGACATTATGTATCATATCTCTTAAAGTATACTTATTTTGTTAAAACATACTGAACAATATTTGTGGAGAATGCCAACATTTTTAATATGATACCAGGAAAAAAGTGCTGATTCATCACATTAAGGGCAAAAAGGAGCCAAAAGTATTTTTTCCATAAGTGTTTAGCAATGTTATACTTTACTGTAGCAAAAATGTTTATCTCAACAATCTATAACTATATATTATAATTTTTTGGTTATATGATACATAATTAGGGGCCACAAGGGACCAGAATGCTAAATCTTAGATGCTTTATATCTCGAAAGTGAGAAATATTTTGATAAGTATTATTGCACAAAAGATGTTCAAAATAATGTTCTGAACAATATGCAACCTTTCATTTTTTCACTAAACGTCCCCATTAAGGAGCTGAAGGGCTGGGCCCTAAATATTTCTTTTGCGAATAACTCGAAAACGAAAAAGAATCTCTTAATAGCTGTTGAACAAAAAATGTTCATAATCATAAGAGCTTGAAGATGAAATCAAGAAAAAGGGGCTGTGCACTCAAATTATTGACCAAGAGGAACCAAAGTTCTTTTATCGATAACTCTTTAGCAGTTAATATTTTGTAGTGCATTACTGAAGCAAAAATGTTTATCTTCACCATTTACAACTATATATCAGGAATTTTATATCGTATGTTGCATTAAGTAGGGGCCACAAGGGGCCAGAATGCTAAATCTTTGACGCTTTGTATCTCGAAAGAGAGAAATATTTTGATAGGTTATATGTTCTGAACAAAATGCAACCTTTCATTCTTCGCTAAAAGTCCCCATAAGGGAGTTGAAGGGTTGGCCCGTAAATATTTCTTTTGCAAATAACTCTAAAACGAAAAAGAATCCCTGAATAGTTGTTGAACAAAAAGTGTTCAAAATCCTAAGAACTTAAAGACGAAATGAAGAAAGTGGGATTGGGCACTCAAATTAGGGGCCAAGAGGGGCCAAAAGTCTTCAATCTCTAACTCTTTATCAGTCAAAATTTTGTAATACATTACTGAACCAAAAATGTTCATCTCAATGATTTACAACTATATATTATGATGATTTTAATGTCGTATGGTACATAATTAGGGGCCACAAGGGGCCAGAATTTTAAATCTTTGACGCTGCATATCTTGAAGGTGAGAAATATTTTGTATTTGTATTGTAGGTAATATTGAACAAAAGATATTCAAAATAATGTTCTAGACAATATGCATTATTTCATTTTTCGCTAAACAATCCCATTAAGGAGTTGAAGGTTGGCCCCTAAATATTTCTTTTCCCAATAACTTGAAAACGAAAAACAATCTTTGAACACTTGTTGAACAAAAAGAGTTTAAAAGCCTGATATCTTTAAGATGATTTGAAGAAAAAAGGGCTGGCCCCTCATATGTTGGCAGTTTTTTCAAAAAGCACTTAACACAGAAGCTTGAAATTTTCAGTGATGCTAGAGCAACTTTTGGAGAAGTGCACTAAGTATATCACTACTACCAGAAGTACAAAGCGCCGACGCTCGCTATGGCCCGAAAATAGTCCTATCAAGATTTTCAAAATTTTAAGCACCTTTTCAGCGATAACTTTTTACCTAGAAATATTTTGTTATAACATATAGAACAAAAAAGGTGTAGAATTTCAAGATCTTTTGAATGACATCTCGAAAAAAAGGTCTGCCCCCTTAAATCAGGGGCCTGACGGGTCCGAATGTTTTTCCTTTATATCTCGAAAAGTATTGAGAATTTGTGATACGTCAAAGATGCAAAGTTATTCAAAATGTCAAGCTTAATCTATTGACGTCGTCAAAATACGTCCGGCGTTGTCACTTCCCGTCAAACCGGAAGTAGTCGGAAAACGCGTATTTTTGCCGTTCT